AAAGGTTGTATACGGTTATATGAGATTGATTCATCTGTTGTGGTGCTTAAAAGACTTACTTTGATGAACTTGAAAGATTGCAAAAACCTCATCCGTCTTCCAAGCAGTGTACGGGGCTTAAAATCTCTCAAAGTTCTTAATGTTTCTGGTTGCTCAAAGCTTGAGAAATTGCCAGAAGACTTGGGCCATGTTGAGGGTTTGGAAGAGCTCGATGTGAGTGGAACTGCTGTAAGAGAACCACCTTCCTCCATTGGTCTTCTCAAAGACGTTAAAGTATTATCTTTCAATGGTTGTAAAGGTCCATCATCTAAGGCATGGAATATTATGCTCTTCCCTTTCCGGCCGCGGCCATTGCTGAAAGTAAGTCCAAATGCCACAGCTTTGTGGTTGCCTTCTTTATCTGGTTTCCGTTCTTTAACAGAACTAGATCTAAGTGACTGCAATCTTTTGGAAGGAGATATTCCCAGTGATCTCGGTCACATGTCCTCATTAAAATTTTTATACCTAAGTGGAAATCCATTTGCTAGCCTACCCAGCAGCATCGCCCAACTTTCTCAACTTGAATCTCTTGCCGTGGGGAATTGCCCCAAGCTTCAAGCATTGCCAGACCTGCCGTCTAGTATGTCTTCTGTTGAAGCTTACAATTGTAATTCACTGGGAACGTCCAGTGCAGACATTGTTAAACTTCTTAGCAGCGGTTTCAAATTTACTGGGTCTCAATGTGATTTTGTTGTTCCAGGAAATGAAATTCCTGAGTGGTTCAACCATAAAAGTTTGGGATCTTCAATAACTGTAGAGCTGCGTCCAGGTTGGTTTACTGATAAGTGGATGGGATTTGCGTTGTGTGCCGTCTTTGGACAGCCACGTCCTGATTTTATTCTTTGCGAACTGAGTGTCAACGGAAAACGATTGGAAGAGAAGGTAGCTTTGAGCTGTTGGTTGGGATCCATTCAAGCAGCAGCAAAATCAGGCCACCTTTGGTTATGCTATCTTTCACGTCATAAAAATTTTGTTAGCGAATGGCAGAATATCCACACTCGGCTTGAATTCTCATTTCCATCCCTTCAACGAAGAGTGGACGTGGAGAAGTGTGCAGTTTGTTTGGTATACGAGGAAGATGTGGAAGTGCTTCTGAAGCAAACATATCCGAGGCAGAGCAGAGTTGACAAATGTGAAGAGGTCTTGGAATTCCCTGAGAGCAGTTTTGAGAAAGCAGATGGGATTGCCAAGAGAGACTGTGAATACTTTGATGTTGGGGCAGGACCTAGTCAAACTCATAGTCAGGGTGAAAGAGACCGTACAACTAGTATCGATGAAGAACCTGATCCAAAAAGATCAAAACAGCACTAGATATCCTCATGGGATCAACAGTAAAGGTTATGTAGCCTTTGTTTATTTATCAACCAAATTTCAATCCAAGCCCAGGATGATGAGCCACGGTCTGCAGCCCGACCACAAGTTTCCATACCTAGCTGTTCCAAGAAGATCCACATGTCAAAGTCAAAGCCGTTCATATATTAATCAGGTTGCACATATTCTACTTGAGCATACATATTCTTGGGGCCTTTTTACTTCCTCTGAACAGACTGTGTCTAACTTTCCACTGTAGTTAGTTTTATAATCTCTCCATAGTTTTAGTTTCTTTTTAGTTTTTGTGGTGGTTTAGATGTAGAATTTAAACAGTTGAGTTATTTTGTACATTTCTTTGTATTGGTTTTCTTCGTATTATTTTGTAATTTTCATCCATTTATATCAATGACAGGTTTTACTGTTCATCTTCCTTATTATTAGGTACTTTAATTATTATTATTACTTTATTTTTATGTCATCCAAGGGAAGGAGGAATAGTAAGTTATGAGCATTTTGAAGAAAAAAGATGCAGAAGATGGAAGACAAGTGATAAAAGAGAAGATAATAGAAAAGATTAGTGTGAAAAACATGAATACTCTGTTTTATGCCTTTAGCCATATTCCTTGCCTTTTGTCATGAAAACCACCACGTGGGCCATGCCTGTTGGTTTAGTGTTTAAGCTTTTATAAAATCTTTTTTTACCAGAGCAACACTTCACTATTAGTTCAGTAAGTTCCTCCTCTGTCCTGAGTACTTTCTCCTGAGGCATTTAATCAATTTAAGCTCCCTCAATCACTACAATTTATAACCTCCCTCATTGGTTTTGAAACTTGACTGCAAACTGAAGATCGGCAATTGAAATTGTTTGATGAGCTGTGACTCGTGGCTGTGACAGATAGAAGAAAATTTTCCTAGACATTGCTTGTTTCTTTAACGGGATGTTTAAAGATAAACTACTAGAAGTGTTAGACCGTTGTGGATTTTATACATGTATTGAAATTGAGATCCTTGGGGAGAAATCTCTCTTAACTATTTCAAGGGACAAAATATGGATGCATGATTTACCCCAAGAAATGGGTCGAGAAATTGTCCGGCGAGAATCACCAAATGATCCAGGCAGGCGGAGCAGGTTGCGGCGTTATGAAGATGTCAACTATGTCTTTGAGTAAAAATACGTAAGTGTTTATACAAGAATTTTAGTTGATTTGCAGATATTATATAAGTTACTATACTATCCCTTTGGTATGTTATGATCTTACTGTTTATTCATGCATGTTTATAACAGGGAACCGAAGCAATAGAAAGTATAGTTTTCCGATCAATATATGAGCGAAGAGCGCTGGATGTGCATGCTAAATCCTTCTCAATGATGAAAAGAGTCAAGACTCCTCATTATTGATCATTATAAAGTGGACCTCTCTGACGGACTTGAATATCTTCCTAGTAATTGACGGATTCCTAGTAATTTCCTCTAAAGTCTTTGCCATCGACTTTCAATCCTGATGATCTAATAGTTATTCGAATGCGTCATAGTGACATTCGATACCTTTGGAAAGGGATAAAGGTATCTTCTCTGTTATAATCCTTATTACCTATAGTACTTTTTGAATCCTGGAAGCTAATTTTGCTATGTTTTCACTTCATAACAGCCTTCATACAATTTGAAAATCCTTAACCTCAATTGGTGTCGGAATCTTGTCAAGACCCCGGACTTCAGAGATATTCCACAACTTGAGCGTTTGCTTCTTCTAGGTTGTGAACGATTGCGTAAGCTTGACCCATCTGTTGTGCATCTTGGAGGACTTACTTTGATGGACTTGGAAGGTTGTGAAAACCTTGTGCGACTTCCAAGCAGGGTATCTGGCTTGAAATCTCTCAAAGTTCTTAATAACTCTGATTGCTCGAAGCTTGAGAAGTTGCCAGAAGACTTGGGGCACATTGAGTGTTTGGAAGAGCTTGATGAGAGTAGAACTGCTATAAAAGAATCACCTACCTCCATTGATCTTTTGAAAAACCTTAAACACTTAACTTTGGATGGATGTAAATGGCCAGCGTTCAAAAGATGGAATATAGCACTTTGCCCTTTCCGATCATTGCGAAAAGTAAGCCCAAGTCCCGCAGCTTTGTGGTTGCCATGTTTATCCCATTTCCATTCTTGAACATTTCTCGGTCTAAGTGACTGCAATCTGTCTGAAGGAGCAACTCCCAATAATCTTGGCTTCCAGTTGCCCTCATTAACAGCTTTAGATCTAAGTAGAAATCCGTTTGTTAGCCTACCCAGTAGTTTCTATCAACTTTCTTGCCTTGAGCGTCATGGCTTGATGGATTGTTACAAGCTTGAAGCATTGCCGGAGCTTCCATCTAGCGTGCATATTGTTCAAGCTTTTAATTGTGCTTCACTGGAGACATCTGGCGTAGACATAGGATAGGGGCTGTCTTGTAGGTTCTTGTTCATTGAAATCAATCGTCCCTTGAATCGGGCTGCTCATCTTTGAGCTCGATTTTCGCTTATTTGGCTACTAAGGATAAACCATAACATTAGTTAGATCCAACAATCAAGATGAGCATATCACAGAATTGTAGTTTATCTATATGTATACTTGAGAGCTAGATGAACACATATATCATACATATCAAAGCTAAGCTTTTCCCTTCGTCTCACCTTGGCTGTTGCACTTTCAGTCTGTTCCTCTGCACTTGCTGTGTGGGCTATGAATGGTGGGGCGGCAACCTCTCTCGTCTTATCTCCTGTTTACTCCTCGTGAATCTCCTCTTCTTATCTTTTATCGACATCATATAGAAAATTAATAGAACAGTTTCTCTTGCTTCCATGCATTCAACAATCTGCAAAAGTTCAGCCAAGCACCATTTTGATGATGCATAATTTTCTGCGAGAACAATGAGAGCAAACCTCGATTGTTCAATTGCAGTAAAAAGTTCTGGAGAAATAGCTTTCCCTTTATGAAGAGTGAAAGATGTAGATGTGGCTTCCATGGTCATGGCCACGTAAACCTACTTTCCAGCTCGTTTATGACAATTTATTGGGGATTCTGTCATAGGACCACAATCCAGGATGATGTTAGCTGTTATTGCTTTTTTGACAATACATCACCAACAGTAACAATATAAACGGTTGGGCAAAACATGTTTGGAGAGATAACCTTCAGGGCACGTTTGGCTGTTGGCATTTGGATTTGAATTGAGATTTCAAATGTTGGGTGAAGGGATTGATAGTTGGGCTGGAATATGTTTTTTAACCGGAACAATATTCACGGGCGATGTGAAATAGGGATCTGAGATTGAACAGAACTCTGAGATTTCACCGGAAGAGCTTAAAATCCTATCAAAGCTTGAAATCCTAAATACTTTGTAGATTTGACTTGCTTGCCCAACCAATCAAATTATTTGTCTGTTTATCATCGGGCACACGTCGCTGCTGCTTTCGTGATCAAATACATGCCTTTCAAAGTCAAATTTCAGATGATCTTAAAAATATTTATGTGAAATATGTTCCTTCAAAAGACTGCCTCCTATGCATTGTCGTCTTTCTAAGAATTTAAAAACAGAAAAACCACAAACAATATAAGAAGTGAAAAGAAAAGAACAGGACAATGCCCATCCATTCACTAAAAAGACTTAGCAAATGATTCTTACCCAAAAAAAAACTTGTTAGTCATTCCAAATTCTGTAATCTCAAGTCATATGTTATCCTCAATACACAAAAAGGTACAAATCAGACTGTTGGAAAAAATTTCTTTTACTTCTTACGGTTTCTAGAGTTAGGGGAGTTACAACGCAAGGGTGAAAGGGGCTGTCTTGCTGGTTCTTGGTCACTGAAATCAATCTTCGCTTGAATAGGGCTGCTCATCTTTGTGCTTGATTTTCGCTTATTCGACTGCAAAGAAGAAACCATAATATAAGTTAGATCCAACAATCATGATGAGCTTCTCAGAGAATTGTATATATATACAGTATATACTTAACATACAAATCAAAGCTAATTTTTTTCCCTTCGTCTCACCTTTGCTGATGCACTGTCGTTATGTTTTCCGCCTGAACCAGACTGGTTTCTTTCCTTGTGGTACTGCCTCAGTAATCTTTTGTTCTCCACATCTAGCACTTTGTTCTCTTCAAAAAGCAATTTGACCTAAGTACATAAAAAATGCGGGTTATCATTTACCCAATATAGGGTCTGTGGCATCTTGAAGACAGAGATAAAGGACAGAACCGGGGGGGTGGAAGTTTTCTCACCTCTTCTTCAGCGGTACAAAGATTCATCGTTAGATGTTCCTTGTCCTTCTCAAGTGTCTTTACCTTGGCCACCAGTGACAGAACTTTTTGAGTCGATGGCCTCAAGCTACCACATAGACAAGGAAATATTAAGTCATGGCTCAATTTAGAAATCAGAGATTAACATTCAGATACAGGCAGTTACTCTCAATCTGGAGTCTGCTAAAAATCACATTCTAATTCTAACTTACAACTTCACCATCTCAGTATATAAACTCACCGGTTCCACATTTTGAGCAACATTTGACATGACTCATTTCCACCATTGGCCTCCAGAAATGCAGGTGCAGACACAGCTTCATCTTTACTGATCAATGTTGCTAAAACAGACTCCAGTAGTTTCTCTCCAATGGTTGTGTCATCAGAAGATGAATCAACCTTCAACATCAAAATGTTTATCAGCATTCAAAACATAATTACATTAATGTACTGTACTTATTGTTCTTCCACATGCTTCAAAAGAACTGACCAAGATAAAACCAAAAATCACAAGTTCTATTCACACCGTCTGTAGGTGGAATGCGTGCACACGTATGTGTGATTAAGATTCATTTAATTGCTGCAAAAGTAACATTTTCACCCCTTGTCTCCTTGGATACAAAACTAAATGATGGCATCAGCCATAATTGAACTTTTTGAATGCATAAAGCTGGAAAAATATTAACCAGAAAAGGAAAACTAAGGTAAAAGGGTATTCACACCATAAATCCCATTCCCCACAAATACGCAAATGCACTTGCAAGTCTCACAAACCCATCACAGTACAAGTCTAAAAAACAATGAATATTAACCAGAAAAGGCCCAAATTCATTTTCTTTCAATTCATCAAAAGGAAATAACATAACAAAAACTAAAACGGTTGAAGAAATTACCGAATGCATCTCTAATTTGTGCTTGTAGAACCCCAATTCATCCCTTAACTCTTTGACTTCGTCCTCCAACTCTTGAACACGAATCTCAGCCTCCTTGGCACGCTGGTCAGCCTCGTTCCCAAAATCCATCAAAGCCTCCCGGTCGTGATCATAGAGCGAGCACTCTCTCTCCCATTTGTTGCACTGGGTCACTAGATGCGCGCACTCTGACGCCAATCTCTGATTCTCCTCAACGAACTTCCTCAAAGCTTGTGCATTCATACTCGCTTCAGCCTAATAACGAAACCATCAAAAACAAAAACGCAAAAAGAAAACAATTATCGATACAATTATATGAATATGTAAATACACGAACCCTAGCGCGCTCGAGGACTTGATCTTTCTCCTTCATTTTTGCGAGTAGAACAGAGTACTGGTTCTGAAGCCGCTGCTTCGATTCTTCCGAGCATCGAAGCTTCAATTCGAGCGTGTGCGTGGATACAGGGAGGCCCAAGGAGTGATCGATCGATTCCTTGATATAATCGTCGATTTTTTGCGGAAGATCCATTCTTCTTTGGTTGCTCGATCTTAGAAAATCCTAGACTGGCGAAACCCCTAGGAAATGCAAAAAAATTCAGATTTGTTTTAGGGTTTGATTGAAGGATCAGAGCGCGCGTACTGTTAATCAATCTGGGCTCGAATTGAAACCCAAGAAATGATGATAGCGATTCGAATTCGCGAGGCGTGGGGATTTGGGATTTTGGTCTGAAATGGAGAGGAGGGTTTATCTGGGCTGTCCTTCGCTTCTTTCTGCTTTCTTTTTGCTTTTCGAATTTTAGTCTGCAAGATTTTCAAATTTAAGGGCGCTATCCGTTAGAGCTTGTTTATACAGGAAGGGCACCAAATAAGTGGCGCCCGTGATGGATCCACGTGGCAAGCGAAACGGAAACTACATATTAATCACCCGGAAAAAAGAACTAGCGTATGCAACACCATCCATATTTCTAAAGCCACCTTCAATTTTCTTTACACACCCATTCCAAAATTTGTTATTCAAATCTTTCAATTTTTTCATTTAATTAAAAGTATTTAAAAATAGATAAACAAAACAAAGAAAAATAAAAATAATGTAATGTGCCGACCTCTTTGCAACTTACTCTCCATCATTCCTCACTCAAACTTACACTCAAGGAATCATATTTTGTATGATTAACTTGGGAGCATCGATAATGCCGAATTGGGGTGTGAGAGGAGGGATTTATCAAACCCAAAGGAAAAAAGAACTTATTTGATAATCGGAATTGTTGGTGCCAAGTTGAGGTGGAGGGAGTCATAAATGGCATCAAGTGTGAGATGGAAAAAAAAAATGGTGTGATCCTAAACCTCCACATATGTTATTAATTTACATGTTATAATATGGATGATCGTTAGATTTCTACATTAGACTATGGTATACTATAGTGGATATCACGTGGCAATGTTAAGAACACATCGAGCAAATTTCTCACAGTGATGCAAGGTGTTGGGAAGTTTCAAAGTTAACCCAACCCATTTGAGGAAATCCAAACTCATTCCCATATAAATCCAATTGGGCTTAATTCCCAACTCCGTGTCAAGAGAAGTACCACTAAATCAAATTTATGTAATTTACAAAACTAACTAGAACTTATATTTCATCAACATATAATCTTACATATAGGTACAATAATTCTTAAACCCTAATTCCTCATAAGACGATTAATTTAATAACATAATAAAAATGAATAAAATGCAAGAATTGTTGTTACATTGAGCCACAAGCTGCCTCAGGGTTTAATTGTCTCCTTTTTTAATATTATTTGCTTCTTTGATCTCTGTTATCTTATTTTTGATATCAGTGGCGTCTTTGATTTTTGCTGTCTCCTTTTCAGTATCGTCAGATGCTTTGATTTTCTCATTGGCCTGATCGATGATAGAATCCACCTCCTTTTCTACATCCTCAACCTGCAATTTTGTAATGGCAATCATCAATCACATGTATATGATTCTATCTGCACTCTCCAAACTACTCAATAAATTCTTTCTATAGAAAACTTCCTTCTGCTTGACAATAACTTATCACATCGAAAATAGAAGCTATGTCTTAATAACGTGCATTCAAAGACAGACTAATTTGCCTTTGGGTGAACTTGTCGATCTAACAGTTACAACCGCGTTCGTACTAAATACGAATTGGTTAGTACCATTAAAAGTTCCTAGTTTGGGGGTGTATATACATATATGTATCTGAAGCTATGAAGTGAATGTGATGGGGACATGTGGGAAGCAGAAAAACTTGAGCTCATTAGAAATGACGAGATTAGCTTCATTTCCTCGATATTCTTGCATAACCACGAGACAGAGACAGAGACACATACAAAGACAGAAAGATTTGTTTAACTAAAACCAATTATCAAACAGTTAACCTCAGCATCAATCATACAACAGCAGTCCTATCTATTTTCCGTTAAAACCCGACAGACTTAGATGTATCTTTTGAGAGTTCAGATCAAACCAGAAAATTTAACTGAACTCTTCCTTGCTGCAAAAGTTTTTAAAACTAGTCCTCTGTTTTGCTTCCCTTCTCTGTTTTAATTTCTTCATCAATGTGCCAGATGTTGACAACCACTAAACATGGAGCTTAAAACATGCGACCCTCGCCCGTTAATTATGAAATAAAATATTTAATTAGTACTAACTACTAACGAGATAATGTTATTATAATATGGTAGGTCGCTTTCAAACATAGAGTTTAAGAATTAAAACAAGGGAATTAGGTAAAGGTTAAAGACCTTCTCAATGAGATCGTCAGCTAGCGACGCATCCTTGGCTGCTTCTCTTGCCACATTCTCAACAAACCTTGCTGCCTTTTGAAGATCTCCCTGAGGAAGATGATCAGCAATGTCGTCGGCTACCTTCTCCACTTCCCCGGCCACCTTCTCCACCAATTCTGCCACATCTTCTACTGAATCGAGCGTCGTTTCGACTTGCTCTGTACATAACCCAATTAAATTATAAATATTTAATGATGCATCAACTAGTTCTTAGTTTAATGATATCTCTTTCTAATATACGAGAAAAAGTCTCAACTTTTCGAATCTCTCCTTCCGAGATCAAAAGGAAAAAAAATGACGACGACTGTGATGACGATAATGACATTAATAACTTTTGATTCCTTACCTCTGAACTTTTGCAATGGCCACCATTTGTTCTTCCAAAAGGGTACAACTACTGAGATAAGTATCCCCACGAGCCATAATTTCCTGCATACACAGTGTACAACAAAGTAAATTAAAAAGCATATATGGGATATTAATTATACAAAAAATATTCGAACAGATCAAGAATCGGACGTACCAAGAAGTCCCAGGAGAAGGATCAGAAGGCAGAGGAGTTCCAGGTTCAACACCATTGACAACCACATCCCTGCATATATGATATATCATATCATTAATTAAGTTCATCTCATCAGAGACAAAAAATAAAATTTAATTTGAAATTTATGGAGCTGAAGATAACGAGGATTTACTTACATCTTTATCTTGGTGCCATTTTGGACCTTCGTGATCGACTGCAAGAAGCTTCTGTTTCCAAGAAAATGGCATCTGCCGTCCCTGCGATTTGTACTGAGACAACTAGGACCAAAACTTGAAGCCTGCAGATGCCTAGAGTTACAAGGAGCAACTGCTGTTGTTGTGCTTGTAATCGACATGGCCATGGCCTAACAATCCAAGTTTGTATTGAGATGGGTTTTTGCTGAAGACTTAGAAAACAAGGCTAGAAAGGTAAATATTAAGTTGTCTAGAACCTGCTTGTAAAAAGCAATACGTCAAGAGAGAAGAAAATGGCTTGTGGGGTTACAGGGATTGGACGAACTGGCGTAGAGATTTTCAACTAATGTTTTGTTTGACACGCTAATTTTGTGGATTTGGAGTAAAGCTAATGATATATATATACGTACTCAAAGTCAATGATGATTGTCGCTCTCCTTCTTTTCATTCGCTTCACGTTTTCTGATACGCTCTGTACTGTAGTTTCACATTCGGTGGAACTTTCCTGTGTAATTTTCATGAGGTGCCCGTCGTGTGGATAAAATAATAGTCCATTTCGGTTGCATCGAAGAAACAAACTTGTATAAAAATCAAACAGCATACTATTACCACTAACCATGGGCCCACCTCGATTGATGCCTACTTGTTGAATTCGGGTGCTCCTGCAACAACATGAAAGGAAAATGAGATTAGACTAAATTAATGGTCATTAGCGATCAATCGCAGTCGTTAAATATGTATGAATCATGACTTAATATATGTAATATGTGTATACAACAACTTGGTTAGGTTTTTAAAACATTTCCAACTTGGTTATAATTACAACAAAGTGATTACATTACTGGAACGAGAAATACAAACTTAAGAACTCTTCCAAGGTTAAGTAAATATGTACTGCCAAACTATTTGCTAGTTAGTATTAATGGGACCTTTGAAGTTAGAACCATGCAACTTCTAAGAATATTATTGGTGTTGACCCAACAATAAAGTCCTGTTGATCATAATGCAAGTGGGCACCTAGGCATGAAGGTATATAGACATGCACTCATTCCTCAACAAAAAAAAGGAGAAGAAATTGGGCAGCTTTAGCTAGCTGGACCACTTGGGAGGCATAAATTTAATTTACCACGTTCTTTAATTTAGTTGATGTAGTTGACACGTTCCATGAACGATGTTGAAGAGAAAATAGACAACACCTAGAAAAACAGAAACCATTTTCTCTTGTTTTTTGCCCTTTTGAAAGCTTGATTTGAAACATTCAATCAAAAGTGTGTTGGCTTTACCCTCTAAGATTAATTATGCAAAAAATTGGTCCTAATTTTGTTCCAATCTGAGATTCTGCTGTGGACAGATAGCTCAAAACACGCGCATACTGAATTTGCTGACTCAGGAACCCTACACTTCTGGAGAAAGCCTATATCAACACTGTCCCTACGTTGGTGGGGAGCAGTTCAACTCATAACATAAATAACACAATACAACGTTTCAAATGTTATATCATAAAAGGGTTATTTGCAGCAAGGAGCTTTTACGGCTTAATAAGTGATTAAGAGAAGTGGACACCGGAAGTTGCGTGTTCGAATTTGATAATAAATAGGTAAAAGCTCCTTCGCGATGTTGCTTCATATAATACTCAAGTGCAAATAGCCCTCCATGGTCAAACAAATAGGTGTGTTGTGTTGACAACTTGACTATTCCGGTGCCATAATTTTGTACAAACAAAATTATTAATTATGACTTCATTCTTATATTTATATTTCGCAATCACAACTTGACTTGACAAAATACAAAGAGAAAAGTGTGCCACACGGCATGTTCCCCCATCAATAATACAAGGGCATAATTGATCAAATTCACCAGAGAGAGAGAGAGGGAGAGAGAGTCCTTTTACATTTTTCATGTGTATTGAAAGAAAAATGTGAAAATCTTCTTTAAAATGCATATTATCATTTTCAAAGAGAAGAAAAAATGATTGAATTCTTCATATTTTGGTATAGGGTGGTTTGAGAAAAATTCGAAAATTTTAATTTTTGTTTGGACTAATCAAACTTGGCACGTCAGATGCTCTCTACCATACCTGCAATGCAAGCCAACCTTTCTAATGTTGAATTACCACCTAACCCTTATTTTTTATTATTATTGAGTAAATTACGTTTTACCCCTTAATCTATAGGAGTCCTTTCTAATGTTGAATTACCACCTAACCACGCTAAATCAACTTTAGCATGATATGTAGGGTTTTGAATTCCTTTCATCACAATTATTGCCCACTTGCCGTGTTTGAGCCATTTTTACTGGCCCAATCATTGACTGTGCCCAAAGCCCAACCAGCAAGCCCAAGCCCGTCTGAAGTCCCAGGTCAAACACTCTGTTTTTTTTCTTCACAAAGTTTGGAAGGAAGGGGGAGGTGTCATTGGGGTAACTTGAACTTGAGACTAATGACAACAGGCAAATGCTTTTACCACTGCACCATTGAAAAATAATGTACAAACTAGTTTTTCCAAAGAGGGCTGATTATATGTAAACATAGAGGTTTAGCAATTACAGGCTGAGTCAGAACACAAGAACAGAAGGTAAACCTTCTAAATTATAAGGCAGCAGATACTATGTCCATTTCATTTGATGAGACTTATTACTTCTCTTCCTTTTGCTTCTAAGAGGATTCAAAACCTAAACATACCTTTCACTTTACCCTTATACAATCTGAGTTAGTTAGGCTCATGGTCAACAAAATTTCAACAAGGTGACCTCAGAATATAATTAGTACCAAAATTATGTTATATGGTCTACAAATTATATGAATTTCATGACTTTTACACCGCGTCATTAATTTCTGTCGAGTTTTTTTAGCTCCGTTTTTGTTCTAGGGATTATTTTTTTAAAGGTTTAACATGCTATTAAAAATACATTGATTTCAATTGATTCATTGCATCTAAGTCGTTTCAAATTCAAAGATATTAGATTTTCTATAAGTACATTCATAAGAGTTACTCAAAGCATTGTAGGTCAAAAATGAGAATTTGAATCCCAATATGCCTAAGAGGAAGACGTATAAGAAAAATGCAGTCAAAAAATTACTAGTTGTAGCAAGAGAATTTGTAAGCCCATGCAGGGCGATGGAGGCAGGGACTTTCCCTGACTTTGCCCAAAATAAATACCAAACACACCCTACTAAACCTTGAAAGAGAAGTGTTTTGATTCTTTACCTTATTTACTTCATTTCTTCTCTTCTAATTCACATAAAAGAAAAAAAAAACAAAGTGACAGCTTACCTCACTCCCTCTTTGTCTCTCATCTTCTTTTTCAATTCTCTCTGCTTCATGATTTCCTCAACACACACTTCTTTAATGGCAGTGATCAAGCACAGAAAACTCTTCCCAGCTGCACCAGTTTCCACAAACCAAACTGACTGTCCAGAATTTTGTGGCCCAGATTGTGCATATGGCTGCTACCCTTATGCAGATTTCTACATCCCACCACCCCCACCATTTTCTGCAATTGATCAAAATGACCAAAACCACCATATCTCACCATATGTGGTGCTCTTAGTGTCTTTGCTAGCCAGTCTTTTGCTCCTTATTGGCTACTATGTTATTGTGGTAAAGTCTTACACAAGTTTGTGTAGTTACAGAAGCAATGGATCCTCTCTCTCTCAATCTGGCAGCACAGATGAGGAGTTTCTTGCAGAGAACCAAGTAGACCATCCGGTGTGGCTCATCTCCACCGTTGGATTGCAACAGTCGATCATAAATTCAATCACAGTTTGTAAGTACAAGAAAGATGAGGGCTTGATTGAAGGAGCCGAGTGTTCGGTTTGTTTGACTGAGTTTCAGGAAGATGAGACTCTCAGGCTGCTGCCCAAGTGCAGCCATGCTTTTCATGTCTCTTGTATTGATACTTGGTTGAGGTCTCACACGAATTGCCCGCTGTGCCGAGCTAATATTCTGAGGCCTCCTAATTTGGCTTCTGTGGACACGAATGAAGAGACCCAAGTGGAAAATTCTGAGAGTGAAATTGCATTGGGTGTGGATAATCAACGGGGATATGATGAGGTTTGTGAAAGCAGAGCTGAAACAGAGGATGAAGGTGAAGAAGAACACCAAGTTCGTTTTGAAAATGCATCAAAGGAGGCAACAAATTCTAATGGGAATTCCATTCTTGAACTTATAAGGAGGTCCTGGTCTTTTGATTCTTCCTTGGCTGCAAACATGTTAGTCATCAAATTGAAGAATGCTGAGAAATTGCATTCGGATGTTGCTCGAAAGCGATATTCTTCAATTGGTCAGTCTCTACATTTAAGCCCTGTTTTGATGAAGAGGTCTTTGAGACGTAAGTGGAGCATGATTTCTGTTCTTCCCCAGTAAAGGTTGTGACGTTTGTTTGAGTGTTCAAGGTGAGATGATTGTACTATAAAATAGAAATTTCTCATGTGCTCTCAATAAGCTGAGGGTGCTTAAGTTCTGTTTCTGTGGCACGCAAAATGACACATGATTTGAAATTATGAGTTGTGAGGAAAAGAGATTTCAGCCTTTTATTACTGCATATGCAGCATTCAATTGATGTCTGCATAACAATGCTACATGCATACATATACATACCAAACTTATTGTACACTAATCTATAACAGGCATGTTGGCATGTTGACTTAGCCATATAATATTGAAGATGCTCTCCATAAAATGATTAGTAAAGACGATAGAAGTAGTTTCATTGAGGCTTTCTTGGTGTCGATACAAGCGATATTGGAAGAATGCTAATATCGAACACATGGCTTTGATGCAGATAAATGCTCTTAAGTCTTGAACTTTGAGCCTCTTGCATAAGTTTATTGATATGTATTTACTTACCATGTTAATGATGTCATCATGCCATTGTTACTCTTATTTTGGTTACGCAGATAAAGTTTTTGATGAACCGATTGCCATGGGATTTGATTTCCCAGGAATCTTTTAGCCCTTTGGCTTGTCCAAATTTTCTAACCCTTCGATTGTTCAATACGGTATTGTAAGGATAGGGTTTGTTAGAAGACAATAATCTAAATTACGCTTTAAAAGTCACCTAACACTTGAAATATTGGTCAGTTTGGATTGGTGTGGATTGGAGAAATAATCGCTGGATAAAGACCATCTTTGCAAGAAAACGAGTTTCTGGGAGAATGCAACTTGAGCAAGTTAGCTCCCCTTGACCAGAGTCAGTCCAAGATCTTTTTCTCTTTTCTGATGTCGAAATATACTAAACCTCCCATGTTAGGTCAAAGAAAAAGTAAGTACAACCGAGGGAATGGAATACTGTTGTTGACACAAAGTAGCACTAGACAATTAATGTAACAAATTTACCACCGGATTAGCAACTAAATGAATTGGCTTCACGATACATATAATGCAAGGAATGCTCGAGTTCGAAATCAGAGATGGAGCCACATATAAGTCTGAAATTGCCATAACCCAATGTCTCGAGGATCTCCTTCAAATCTTAAATTCAATATAAAAGTATATGTAATTGTTTGAATCTTCTTAAATGATAATGTTCTGATGTTCTGTTGGGTGTGCCTCAAGCAAACAATCTCAAGTGCCCATTAGTTTGAATAGTTTCTGCTACCACAACATCTGCATATCCAAGGTTCCGAGCAGCATCATAATTTCACAAAGCCCAGCTGCAGCCTATTTACTTCTATAAACAGATCGTCATAATTAAAAAAAATTCGTTAGAAAAATTCACCGGATAAAAAGAATGAAATTTGTTTCTTGATACTAAAGAATAATGAAAGAAACTACAAGGTGTGGTGCGGTTGGCAAATTGTCATCTCTAGCTGGCAAGCTACCTAGTGCCTCAATAGCAGGAGTTCGAAACCCATTAGAAGCACTTTGTGGCCAAAAGCAAGCCGAACCCCAAGTAGGGATTAATCACACCCTTAATAATGAAAGAAAGAAAGGACATTTGTCTTGTTTTGTCGGCTAAGTTCTACACGCAGAGGCAGCCATTGGCAACAGTTTGTAAAGCTAACTTTTTATCTTTTCATTGGTCCCAGTCATTTCTCTTTATACACTCATTATAACGTGCCAAAAACAGAACAACTTTAATTTGAATTGCCATAATTTCATTCACGAAACTTCTTCGCTCTTTTTTCTTTTGGTAAATGAAACTTCTTCGTTTTTGCTCAGAACTTGGACTTAACATGTTTATCAAAAAAACTCTTCATGACTAATCCAATAGCTTTTACTTTCTATCGTAACTTCTTGCTCACAAGGCAACTTCCTACCAAAAACGCACTATCTAAAGTGCTCTGGTAGTTAATAAATAATTTTTTTTTTAAAGCAAATAAGATAGGTATAATCTCATGTGCATTCTATTTGAATGAAAATTCAATTGTGGGTATTTTCAGCGGTTGATGTATTGTGGACTTTACTAGCACCACATGATTGTAGTTGCACGAGGCAAACTTGTTTTTGCTGCGTGGCACTACAATCCAGTTAAAAGTGAGTATGCGTATGAAATAAAAATTAATCAATAAAATCGGACAAATGAGCAATTCCAATTCAATCCTAGCTCATTCCCAACTTAGTTTGTCATTGCACATTTACAAGATAACATCTGGCCCAATAACCCATGAGGATTCTGTAAAAGGTTTGCTACTCTCACCTAAACCTCAAAAATAAGGAATAAACATCCCATTTCGGGACTTCATGTCAATTGAGACACCAACCTTATTCTCTAGGTATTGTCCTTTGTAACTTATAACAACAACCTTAAAATTAAGAAAACCTTAAAATTTTAAGTTGAGTACACTGGTTTTCTACTTCGATTAATTATCATCAGATTTTTTTATTTTTTTGGGGTTGGCATCAGACTTCATCCTCCTCTTGGCACATATTGTTACGAGATCATCATATATAATCTTTCTCTCACAATACGTGCACGAAACACACATGAAACTCAAATGCAAGTCGTGAAAAAGGAATTAATCCATGTGCAAGTTAATCTCAACTAAGAGAAACTTACGATTAGATTCATGCATTATTCAAAGAACTATGAGTAATATTCGATTGTACAATGAGGGCCCTACCCTCAATTGTACGAATTGGCCACTTTCGGTCCTTCCATAGCTCAAACTGTTGGACTCTCAATGAAACGAATATTCCCCCAGATTTATGTTAAATTGTAGAAAATTTATGTGATTATATAATTGTAATTTTCCTAACACTTCTGTATATATCACGCAAAACAAGCAATGATAGAGAAAGAAGGTACTTAATATATATTTTCTGTCTATTTTGCTGGTTTTAGGGTTAAAGGAAAGATGCTGTGTTGGAGAGGGATTATTTCAATCATTGTGGCTTCTCTGTAGAGAATTAGATTAGTTCTTTCTCAATACGCAAACATACACCTTCTTAGAAAAGTAAAAAAAGATGAAGAAAAACACAAAATAAAAAGGAAAGAGAGCGAAGGAAAATTGATCCGCTGAGAGAAAAGAATTCAGCTTTCAGCTAAAACCACCTTCTTGAATTCTGCGCAGCATTTGATTAACAGCTGCTGCTATTTCATCCACTGTATTAAGCAAGCACCCTTCTTCAATCTGTCCCAATTCACAACAACAAAAATAAACAAAAATTTTAGTTGGTTTTTCTGTAACTAAAAACCGTAGTGAATTTGGTAAGAGAATAATTGCTAGTATATTTTCACTTTTCAGAGAATTTTTCGTTGTAGTACAAGAACTGCATCTTTCACATCAAACCGGCTTTATGCAAAAAAACTTTGTATGAAACGGAGATAATACTGTTTTGCTATTCCCTGTCAATCATAGACTGCTATATGAAAAAGTTATTAGCATGGCATGTCATGATTGGCCGGGCATAGCAAAATAATGCAAAGGCAAATGAAAAAAAATGTGGTGCGGCAAATAATATAATAGTAAGAGGGTATAAACTGAATATTAGTTGGTAAAGTTGATTAAAAGTCTTAGATGTCCCTATTTACTCCTTTCATTGTTCTTTAATAAAATTTTATATTCTAATTAAGTTCACCTTTTTCTTTTTCAAATTCCTAAAAGCAGCAAACACATGAAAAGAATAAAAACAGAGTTTGCCCAGTGTGGGATTGCTTAACAATAATTAGACTGAGGAAAGTGGGAATTAATTGTGAAAAGGCAAAGCAATCATTTGAAAAGACTTTTACTGTAAAACTACTGTAAAACCTACCTTGACACTAACAGAGTAGAGGACCATTTCATCAACTGTGGTCACATTCAGGTGAAGAACACTGAGCCTGAGACTTTGAAACCCAGCCACCATCTTCAACAGCTGCCTAGGCCTTTTCTCGGAGAGTATCTTAAGGTTGGCATGGCTATCCACCATGGTCACTTCTATGTCTGCTGCTGCCCACTGGTTGCTGTTGCTCTGTGCCATGTTTGGCTCGTTTGCTTGGACCCCAGCTGAGTTGTTGTTGCTCTGAGTTGCACGAGTTGAGAATTGTGGGAAGGTGAAGAACTCAGCCAAAGGTTGTTGCTTGCTCCTTTTGTTGCTGTCCATGGACTGCAAAAGCTGCTCTAGCTCCTTCACAAAATTAATGGCACCCCCAATAATTGATGCTTGGTCACCCTGTAACATTTTTTTACCACATGAATTTTGGTCAGTCCAAAAAAAATTCAATTCAAAAGGACATGTAGTTAGAAATCCAATTATGAATTTGATTTTTGTGATAAAAAAATAATCAAACTGACCCTTTGAGCATAAGACTGCGGCATCAATGATCTGAGGACAGCAAGGTACTCATTCATTTGCTTGCGCCTGTTGCGCTCCACAACAATGTGAGTCATCCTCTGGTTCTCAATTTCCTCCTTGTTCTTGCTACTTCTGGTACGACGTCGTTTCCGCCGGTTTGTCGTTGTTGTTAGTGATGGTGGTGGTGGTGGTGGTGGTGTTTCCATGGCAGAGAGGTGTCCTGGCTGGACAGATTGGTCAGCTGTGCAGGCCTCAGGTGAGGAATTGGGATCCCATTCTTTCACATTTTGCAAAAGTGAAGGAGATGAGGAGCAATAGTCCCAATTTTCATTGAGTACATGTTGCTCTATATGGTTGTTTTGACCCTCTTGTGAGATAAAGTCACATCCCCAAGAAGCTCCTCCTCCATTGAAAGAGTAGAAATCTTTGCAACCAAAGCCAAATGGATACTCTTTTGGATAAACCACAGCTTCTAATGCCATGCTTTTCCCCTGCAAAATCACTTTTTCTAACAGCAGCTCTGTTTTAATTGGTATATTGAATTTTCAGTGCTCTTTCAGGTAGTGTGTGAGGAGATATTGTGTGGCTCTGAAAGGAAGGGAGGGTTTAAAGGGGGAGAAGCTTTTTTGCTCTAAAAGAAAACCCAAATCAGAGAAATTGTATTAGGCTTCAAGTCCAAAGCACTACACCCAAAAGACCAAGTAACAAACTCACCCTTTTATCGTCCCCAAATAAGAAAGCCTGGTTCCTTTTAAAAGAGCCTTTAGCCTAGCAAACAAAAAGCTACATTGTATTGCACGTGAGATTTCATGTAGACCAGTCACTAGATCAAAGATTATAGAGAGATTCTCTTTTGGTTCTCCCAAAGATAGAAATAATATACTAGTCGACTAAGCAAATGACAGTAACGTTATTTTTTATTGTATTTACTGACCGTATTGTTAATAACATCTTTTT